ATTCAACGGACTCCTCAGTGTGTCACCAATCCATTTCGATTTTCTCTAATATATATTTGTTGAGCGATCATCTCTTGGTTGGTTTGTTCTCATAGTTTCTTGTTACTAAATCTTTCTGGTCAGCCAAACTGCCATTTAATCTACAGTATGGAGCTAGTGAAGCAGGCAGATGTTGATAAACGTCTTCAGTGGCTTGTTAGAAATCTTTTTCGTGACACGTACGCTGGCCGATTTTCTGACCCGTATAGAAGAACTGACTGACTGCCCTCACATTCGACGCTAAAAATCCGAATACATCATGTAATAGTGTTTGTTACATAATAGCTGAAAATGAGCAAATCTAAGTGAATACTCATCACACTTATTAAACTAATAATGTTTTGTTATTGTTATCGTTATGCAAATTATAGAAAGTTAAAATGCATGGCTATGTAGCATAACCTTGAAAACACATGGGGATTATTATTATTATTAAATATACCTAACTTTAGATCAGATGACTAAAGTTTATTTTTAGCCCGATCTATAGAGTGATCAAATAACTGTTCATTCTTTGATGCAAATGTTCAATTATACTTTTTATAGGCTTTTTGAAAGAAAAATTTTCCTGGCGTACATATTATCAATAGCATTCTATATTCTTGAACTGGGTTACACCTTTTAACAGAAAATCTGCCTTACTACTGATATTTGAGCATTGTAGTGGAAGATTAAAGGAGACACTAAATACCATAGTTAAACGCATATAATAGAAAAGATTTGTAACTCAGATGGATGATTTGCAATTAATAGTGTTCTCTGAGCTCGTTGGTGTAGTTGTAGAGCTTTTGTCGTCTTTCTGAACGACATCTTCAGCGCAGTATTTAGGATAAAGTGAAATGATTTAAATTTCTTCATGAGTGATATAATTGCGTCTCCAGGTAACCATCTTTAGACATGTATTGACCGTTTTCTATTGATTGAGATTTTAAACTTTCTGATCACCTGATCTGCGGGAGCAGTTACATTGGAAGGACAGAATGAAGAAGGGCATATCTACGATTTTCTGAACATGTACGAAAAAGCTTACGTTTAAAGGGAACAAATGCTTTAAACAGTGCCATCACCAGGCATCTTCTCGACACGGGTCATGAGGTGGACGTCGGAGAGTCGTTCAAAATTATCAATAAGCAAAATAGCTCAATTCTCCTTAAGTTTGCTGAAGCCATTTCCATCAAGCGCCTGAAACCTGATTTATGCGTCCAGAAAGAAGCGGTTATCAGCCTTTCTTTGCCCTGTTAACTGGATAATTTCACCTCTCTTTCATCCGAATGTGAAATGCTAAAAGTTTCCATTGTGTTTGATTATTATTGTTCGGAATAGTGTTTAATATTGCATATTTATATATGTATATATTTTTAGTGTATGAGTATATTGATCGATTGATTTTTGTTTAAACTGAACTCTGTGTGGGCAAGTATGTTAAAACTGTTGTGGTAGATATATTTAATAATGTCTTTGCCATGTAAGCAGATGACGAGAAGGCAACGAAATAAAAGATGGTACCATTTTATTCTTCTAAAACTGTAGTTCTTGCTTTGTTCAGATTTACTTTTTATTAGTTGGTATACTTCATCTATATTAACGTGCTTATTAATAGCATTTTCGTTTGAGTATCAGGCTTCTAGGAATTCCCAGGCGCATTTGGTGTTTCCTCTGTCTAAGATTTCGACATTATCCCAATCAAACTGATGTCCATAATTGTCTATGTGCATTGATATGAAGGTATATATATAGTGTCTTTTCATGGCTGATTTGTGTTCTTGGATTCTAATTCGAAGAGGACGCCCACTTTGGCCGATGTAATGTTTATTACAGTTCATACAATTTATTTTGTAAATGGTGTTAATTATATCTCCTTTTTCTATAGGATCTTTTGGTTTGCATAAGATGGAATTAAGCGATTCAGCTGGTTTGTGTGCTACATCTATATCAGACGGTTTCACTATTCTAGCCGTTATCCAATCAACCTTTTGAAATTATCATTCTCGTTTAGGCTTAGCTTCAGAAAATCATATTCAGCGTTGAAAAAAGGGTGAATAGTGATCACTAAAGAGCTTTTTCAACGTTTACGGTATTTTGGTCATTTGGAGTTTTGCGGCAAGATTATGTTGCAATATTCAGATGGAGTTCAGATGGACCAATAATAATAATAAGAGAATAAAGGCTTGGATTCAATGGTGAAAGAATTACATAATAAATTCTCAAATGAACTTGACGCGATTTGAAAACGCGGCAGAGACATCCATCTAAACTTGTGTAGTACTAGACAGTAAATCCAGAAATTATTAAATAAAAGTTCAAATTAGCGAATGATATTAAAACGTTATATAACAATTGTAGAGTATAAAGAGTTACCAACCAGTACAGTTTCTTGAGTTCACTTCCACAAATTTAACAATATAATTCGGAGATACAATTCATGTGGTATGCTTCGACGGTATATCCTTCTGTGTAAGCGTCACCATCAGGTTGTCCAATACTCTTTGGATGAGGATGAGAGGTTCCAGTACATTAAAAAGTATTCAGTAATTAATATAGCGAACAGACAGCTGCTAAGCGTTGCAAGACGAAGCGTGTACGAAGACTTGTGTATTTCACAATCCCACAGAAAATTAATAATTAGCACAAAGATTTCGGCTGAAAGTCTAGTATTTTAACACCAATGAACTATATGACAATGCCATGTGCCAGGTCATTTACAACAGAAAACTCAGTGAAGCCTTTAAAGTCAATAGATGCGTCTCGTCGATTGATTTCTCCTCCTTACCTAGCACCCGACGTCTAATCTCAGTGTTACTCACTATTTAACATCGTCTAACACGTGAGATAGAACTCAGAAACCTATCGTTGGCTTCTTATCAACTGATCACGATCCGGTGTCTTCACACTACTGTTACCATTGAACTGTTGAGATGACACTATTCTCCTTATCATCAGCTTTGGTTCTCACGGTATATTTTAATCACCAGGTGAAAAAATGTCCTACGATTGAATATAACCATCAGCCAATGAACAGCTCTACTTTTTTTTTAGATTTACAGCTTGATTCCACACTGTATTTTTGGTACAAGTATGGAACTTTCAGCATGGATATCGGTAGCCCAAATTTCGCAGGCTGACCATAGATATCAGGTGTGCGCCGGCGCGGGCTCGAACCCCGGACCATGTGCATGGTCGGCGAGAGTCCTAACCACTGTGCCACCGACGCACCTTGACAAGAACAAATTATTCGACTTCTAATTAGTTCCACATCTGGACAATACAGGGATACTTTGTCTACACCAACAATTTAAGAGGTAAGTTCCTTACAACACACATCTGATCTGAATCAAGAGGCAGAGTACTTTTGTAACAACAGAAAACAATGGTCAGGCAACAGATCGTTTATTAAGGAAATCAACACACATATATATAGATTTTCATGTACATTATTATGGCTTATTGTTAGCAGAAAGCACAGTCTTCAGATTGGTGGTTTCTCTTTGAACGTTAGTCTTTCATATAGAAAACATAAATAGGGATTGTTTTTGTATATTGCAATCTTTCATCTCTTTGTGACTGTTTCTTGAATGTCAGATCATCTACATGCTAACTGTATCCGCCTACGCAAGTCTGCTGTGCTTGGTTGTTGAATCAGTCTTTGTTCTTATTTTTCTCACTACCACCAATATTGGGGTCGTAAACATTGACGTAAATTACTGTCTACCAACTTAGCTACCAGCCAGCTCTCACCACACTTTGAACTCAAGTGACGCGTTAGACTTGTTCTGTTCAAGTTCTTTAGTGTGGTCGCAATTCTTCCACAGTCGGAGTTTAACCTAACCCAGGTTAAGCTGTTGTATATATTGTATCCCGTATTATATTAACCTATAATCTACTTGAAAGCCACCTGCTGAAATCTCGGGCCACTGAATATCCTCCATCAATATATTATGTATATAATTTCCCAAATTCAATTTGTTTAAATCTAGCAAAATATGACCTCTAATAGTATTGTTTATTGTGGTGAGGTATTTAAAACATTTACAACCTGCTGATTCGCAAGTTTCTACCAGACATGATGGATGGACGGCAGCTTATCCAAATACATGAGATAACTGATCCTGAGTGGTATCCTTGCTCCACCAAAATATACTCCTGAGGCTTTTATAATTCGCATTCAACAAAGTACCGTCGTGTATTTCTAGAAGGAGAAAAAGAGGAGATATCAACATAGTGGACTGGTTTGCACTTCACGTCAGACGACAGAACTGTGTCATACGATCTACTGTCAACTAATCCCCTTTTTTGATTACAGAATTTCATAATGAGCTGACTAGCGGTCGAGCTGTGTCGTGAATTGTCAGAAGTTAGAATTCATGGACTGGCTATTGGATCGGGTCCCAGTCAGTGGCTTAATGGGCTACGAGCTAGCTCATCTTGTAACCAGAAGGTGGTCCTGGGTTCGAACCCTTGCGGTGGGTGGGTAATGATGAAGAGTTCCAAACTAGAACGAAACAGCTATCCACTCCTCCCCACAAATTTTCCAATGGTTCTCTAACTGATATCAGCTCATGATGAAATCCTGTAACCAATCAATCAACTCTCCAAAAATCATTCGTAGACGAAGACAGAAAGTAGTACGGAATAAACTCCGCTAAAACCTCTGTACATTATATAAACATTGTTTCAGCATAAAGCTATTACAGTTACTAGTATTTCTTCACTTCAGGTTAGGTTACACACCACAACACTGAAACGCAGATATCATCGATTAAGAACTGAAACGTCGCCTATTTTTTCAAAACAAAAAAACGGTTAAATTTTCAATTTTATTATCTTCTGTTTTCTCTTCTTTACAATAAAATAACACACAAGACATGAATCAATACAATGAATGACAAGAGAAAAAGAAAGAAAAGAATAAAATTGACGAAAAGTTGAAAAATTCTTTTTCGTTTTTTTTAGTCTCCTTTTTTGTATGATCAGGAATGAAAGACTCGAGTATAATAACCAAAATAAAAATTACGCCTTACAATATTACAATTCGACATTGAAATATTTGAACACATTGAATATTGAACGCAAAATAAGCAGGGAAAGTGCATTATAGGTATCAGTTTACGTCAGATATCTGTGTCGCATAACGTGTGATCAATAATGCGATGAATAACGTTTTTTTTGTATAACAAAATGAATAAAACAAGTTTTTAAATAAATAAGCATTTTAAATTGACCGCCAAAAAAATTGAAATTACAAATAACCAATTAAAACAAAAAAATAAGTAGGTAGATGAATATTTGTGCATTAGTGATTGATTTCTATTTTTTTGTTAACTTTTTTTATCAGGAAATTTCGACATGAAAAGGATATTTATTCATTTCAAGGAAATAATCTTCTAATTCCAATAGACCATTGATATACTCCTGTTGGTTGAGAAAAGAGAATAAACGAAATATGTGATCATTGTTATAATAATGAGACCTTTATTTTGATAGAGTTATTAGAAGACGGAGATTATCTGAAAAACCATGTGATGTATTGGCGCTATACATTTCGAACAATCTGATCACTCACACATTTACTTGTCAAGTGAGTATATATATGGAAAAGTTAAATTAAACAAAGTGACAAAACACAAGGATTTAAGAATAATTAACACAACGTTTGGTAATCCAATCCAATCAAATAAGGATTACCAAGGTAGGTAGGTTAAGAGTAATACCAAACTGTTTTTGAATACATAAGGGGGGCTTATGTTTATGAATAGCTATAGCCTCAGAGTATTTCAATAGGCGCCCTTGACCGTTTTCATAGATGACCTTAAAGGCTGAGTAAACATCAACCTTACGGTACATCTCGATTAGATGTTCAGCTATAGACGAAGTTGGTAGTCTGACATCTGCATCTATTGGCTTTTCACAGTTCATTTGTTTTTCTAACCATTTTGGGATATGCTCTCCCACCCTAACATGCAAAGCGCGATTACTCCTCCTTATGTATGTGTGTCCACACACACGAAAAATAGTAAATAGTGTGGGATGTGACATAATCACTTGTGCACTTTTGAGGTTTGCAGTCGAGCATACTTTTAACTTTCGCCACAATTACAAGCTGGGCTGCATAATAGGTTCTGCGGATGATCAAATTCAACCTTTGTCTCAAAATCCTAGCGTTTATCTCCTCGTTATATGGTAATTTGATGAAAACAGTTTTCTTAGGGGCGGTATGGATTGTACGTTTAGAGACTAAATGACTTCTAAAGATGTTTAAAAATTTTTAAGGATATCCATTTTCAACAAGAGTATCCATCAATATTTCGTTTTCTTTGTCTATAACATCAGGCGTGCAAATACGCTGAATCCTCTTAAATAGACACTTCACCAAGTCTCTCTTACACTGTTATTGGACTGTAATGGCAGCGCATATCCTGAAATGGCTAGAAAAACAAATGAACTGTGAAAAGCCAACAGATGCAGGTGTCAGACTACCAACTTTGTCTATAGCTGAACATCTAATCAAGATGAACCATAAGATTGATGTTAATACATCTACAATAACGGTCAAGGGAGTTTACTGAAATACACTGAGGCTATAGCTATTCATAAACTTAAGCCCCACTTGTGTATTCAGAAACAGTTTGTTATTACTCTTAATTTACCTTGGTAATCCTCATTTGAATGGATTACCAAACGTTGTGTTAATCATTCTTAAATCCTTGTGTTTTGTCACTTTGTTTAATTTAACTTTTCCATATATATACTCAATTGACAAGTAAATGTGTGAGTGATCAGATTGTTCGAAACGTATAGCGCCAATACATCACATCACACTTTTCAGATAATCTCCGTCTTCTACTAACGCTATTAAAATTTATAAAAGGGGGGACTAATTGTTTTGAATTTTTGATAATGACACTAAGAATGAATAGAATTCTACGGAATACAGGTATTTATGGGGGGATAAACTTGTATAGCGAGTAACTTTATTGCATATCACCGCAAATTTTGCAGTTTTAGTCCGTTGTTATAGTGATTTAATGACAAATTATACTTTTTATAGGCTTTTTAAAAGAAAAGTTTCCCGGCGTACATATTATCATTGGCATTGTATATTCTTGAACTGGGTTACACCTTTTAACAGAAAATCTGCCTTACTACTGATATCTGAGCAATGTAGTCGAGGATTAAAGGAGGCACTAAGTACCAAAGTTAAACACATACAATTGGATTTTCATGAAATCCTGTTGGTATATACACTTTGGCCTATTTATTTAAACGCCCTAATAACCATTAGATAAAGTAGATGGCGCCAGTTCAAAAAGAAAACGACATGACATTCATTATTCGCCCAACTTAACTAATATAATATCTAAAGGTTTTGGTTCAATAGTCATGAGTGGGCTGAGTGGTGTTCAGAAGGAAATCAATCAGATTTTAGGCTATGACAAGGGTATATTGATCATGTCTTCACACTTCAACAAATTCTAGGGGACATAAGTATACGTACTGGCGTCGAACAACCGTTAGGGGTTCTATCTCAGGCAATAAGCCTGATAAAGAGGGGAGGTGGGGCGTGAGACTAGTAACTCCAGCCGGTAAGAGCTAAACTTCAGTGTTCCACTGGGAACGCAGAGATTAAAAAATGATAAAATAACACTTGACAGACTTCTCGACCTGAAAGGTAGAATTCTACTCCATCGAACGAGAGATAGTGTGGGAATATTTATCGGTGAAAGTGCCGAAAACGTATATCGCACTAATCCGGGCATTCTACTCAAAATCACGCAGCAACGTAAGATTTTATAGAGCTTTTATCTGTGACAATGACCAGTAGTGTGCATCAGGGATGCCGACTACCCACATTTTTTGCTTAATTTCCTCACAGATGTACTAATGGCATTGACACTGACAGACCTTTAGGGACTTAGCGATTCACTTGTTACCAGGGTACAGTCTTGTCGACTCAGATTATGGGGATTGCACTGTTCTCCTAGGTGGAGATGCAGATATAAGTTAGACTCTTGACTGTTAGTCTAATTCACGTCAAAAGGTGTAGTTCGACTAGATGAGGCCCTGCAGACGCTAGGAATAATCATTGTTGGGAGATTGCTCTAACTCAACGGCACAGATGTATTCAACCTCTGCAATCTTTTATATCTATAACGCTTTCGCGTCTTTCCATGTCACTATTCTTTCCTTTCTGTAAATACATTTGTGTAGAGATTTTCTCGTCCATTAGTCCACGGTGGTATTGGTATCGATTATTTTGTTGACCTGAAAGGTGACTTTCTTTTTAAGAAGTGTAATCCTTTGCTTTCTTTGTGGAACAAAGGGCTTGAAATTTTAGCTTTGAAGCTTTAATAAAAGTGGCGTTTAGTTTTTTTACGATGTGTGGTTGCTAATCCCTTACCCAAACTTCTCTTTCACTACAGGGCTTACTACCATGCAACAAACCCCAGGTGGAGAACGAGGAGACAGGAATACTTTGGATCAATAAGAACACTCTAGAAGATTTAGGCTTCTCGGAGGACTTATGTTGAATGTTGCATAAATTCAAAGTTCCACCGGCGGAAACCAACAAACTGGCAGAAGAGGCCAGCAGCGAAGACAGGACTTCAAGTGAACATAGACGAGTAGATGGAAGTGACGAAGACAACTAACCAACAACAACAGCAGCAACAAGTATCAATCACTAGAGGCGGGAGGAAGTTGCATAAGGGCAATTTGGGAAACATCCTTTCACAACTACAGGAGATGGTACAGATGTGGATGTCAAAGCCAATCATGAACGGAAAGGCAAGAGAAGTGTTCATTACTCTGAAACTCGCTTGGAAGTGTACTGCAGTCAGCATAAGTGAACAAAATTCAGATTTTCAATAATACTTTTAAGTTAGGGCTTCCAGGTCGTTCTGGGGGGTGATTCGATGCGTCACGAAAGGCATTTTCTATCAGGCTACCGCTAATTTTCACCAACGGCTGCTTTCACAAGCTGCATACTGAAGATCAGATGGTCAGCCAGGAATATGACAGACAACAGGTAACTCTGTGAACGTGCCAATCAAGACTCTATTACCCAATAAATATCCTGAAGAATGTAAAGATGAATCAGACACATACTGAGGAGGCTATTGATTCCTATCGCGTGTCAGGCCATTACTTGAATAAAACTCTTATGCAAAACGACAACTTAGGCGTGAGTTTGAATGAACATTGGAAGAGATGGTGAAAGGAGATAAGACTCTATGGTCAATCCTGGAACCAACTAAAGAGGGTTGCAGAGAACACCAACGTGATATGGAGTTATTCTTTCTAAGACCTATTTTCCGGAAATCTCCGAAAATTTCAGAGGCTAAAAAGAATAGACTAAGAAGTGTGTTTAATTCGAAACAAGATGACGATAATAGTAATGATAATAATAATAATATTAATAGTGGCAAACGTACACGTGATGGAACTGGTGGTCCTGTACCACCTAGACCACTGTTACACGGCAGGAGATGTGGAGGGAGAGCAGCATGAAGACTTTCCAAGGAATCATTATGCATAATAATCTACAAAAACATAAAAAAATCAATACTACCTTCTCAATCAATATTGCATATATGATAAAAATAAAGATAATTACAATGATCTATTAGGGAGGTAAAGTTGAAGTGGATGAATTACAAGACTTTTAAAGATTATTAAACAAGTGAACTGGTATTAAGATTTTGAAAATTCTAGGTCAAGTATTGTCTAAAAATTTAACAGTACGATGGTGATGATAACAGTATAGACGGTGAAGATGAAGTGGCGTGGAACGAATTCAACTGGAGACACTGTCACTGAAGTCATTAAAAGTTGTTTATCTAAATATATTAAACGCTCTGATTTTGTGCAGCCGACTTACATTTAGTATTTACCAGCCGAAATATAATTCGACAACGCGGTAAGGATAAACTACTGCCTATATCCACCTCTGTGTGCACATACTCATTCAAATGCTCGTGTGGAGGTGGTTACTTCGGAAGTTGTAAGCGTGTTCTCGGTAAACGCGCAGCTAAACACTACCCAATTTGGTTAATGAAAGGTGAGCATAGAACGACAAAGTTTTCAATATGTGAACACATACTGGAGTCAGGTTATTCAACCGCATGTGATTTATCCTTCAAAGTCATCTACAAGACCAAATCCAACCACTCCACAAGCTTACGTTTACTACTATTTTTATTCACAGTACCTCAATGTTTGTATTTGCCCCCACCTTCCACTTTTTATGACAACTGAAAACTATTGGTCGTTAAATGTTTTAACTTTTCAATGAAATTATTATCTCTCTCCAAGTCAATTAAAACTTAAATAAATGCTGAATTACTGTCAAGCCTTTTCGTTGTTGATTCAAGACATTAAGACACTGCGCCTTCTTCCGTTCTTCCTTACATCGGGTATCAGTGGTGTCGCATCATGGCAGTACTGAATAGTGATTAGAACGGTGGGCTTGCAAATCTGCCAGGCAGGAAAGTTCGTTAACGCAACAGACTCGTGAACTTCCAGCCAAATTGTACTGACGCTAGTATCAGGAACATCATTTTCTTCACAACTGAAGACACCCCTCACCGCTGTCCAGCTGAAAAATGTCACACTACTAACTGACTCTTAAGTATCTACTACTCGACTGTTGAAAGCTTATGAGTTGAACTTTATTTTTGTTTAACTTCTAAGGTGTCATAAAATACAATACTTTGGGATAATGAACGGATTTATTCTCATTATTTTATTTCTAATTTTATTTGTGTATTGGGCACTCGTGCAAATTTTCATCACCCGATGTCTGAACTTGTACAATATGGAAATGCTTAACAGACTGTATTATTTCGCATATTATTAATCCCCTCACCACCCTTATAGATTATTTCTCTTTGTTCTTGTCCTAATCCCTAATTTCAATACTTCTGTTTGCTGTTGTATGGTAGTGTTGCCAATGTGTTCTTTTACGACTGTGATGTTGTTCAAAGTTCGCCGTAAGAATTTCGAATTTGATTAGTCCGTCGGGAAGTCCTTAGTGTGTGATTCTTACTGACAGAGTTTTTCACGCCATCTTGTTGTGAATATTCTTCCGCTCAATTTTAGTTATATAATTTTGATTTTGATAGTTATTTTGTACTTGAGAAATCGTTGGACTGTATAAATGCCTAATGGCATTTTTGAGGAAATTTTGAGTTTTGATGTGTTATTTTCGGTAAATAATGTCATTGGACAGCTGTTTCGTCCTAGTGTGGGACTCAATCAGTACGTATCCATTGGGTTTCAAACCCACAACCTTCCGCTTACAAGGCAAGATGGTATGCCAATCAGCCACTAGGACCCGACTAAACTGCCAGCCTATGAATTCTAACTTCTAGTAATTCATGATTTTAGCGCGACCACCAACAAATTTAATCGGCGACTGTTTGCTCCAACTCCCCACAGGAGTGAACCCACCCTGGTGACGACTTCTCATTATAACTCCAGGAAACTCCGAGATGTAGGCAGTCACTGGGTTACAAACCCGGTGGGTGTGTCCTGCCGGTGTGCCCAACAATAGCAGGAAACAGTTCTGCAGTACTCTTGTGGTGAGAGCAGGCTGTTAGTCAAAATCGGTGGACAGTAATTAACGTCAATGTTTATGTCCTCAATATTGGTCGTGAGAAAAATGAGAACAACGTCTTTGCGTAGGCGGATACAGTTAACATATAGATGATCTCACATTCAAGAAACAGTCACAAAGAGATGCAAGGTCAATTTTCTGTGAGAAACAACCAATCAGAAGAGTGTGTTTGTTTGCTTGAATAAGCTATAATGTACATGAAACTACATAAATACGTGTTGATTTTCTCAATAAACGATCTGTTGCCTGGCCCTTGTCTTCTGTTGTTACACTCTCTGCTAGTTTTCATTGGTCGTCTAACTGATAATGATCCGTGGTCAAACTTGAAAAACAAACCAAATCTGTACAAAGCAACTCTTGGAAAATAATGCCTGTATTTTTAGCTGTCGTTGGGCATTTTGTGACTGTGTGTAACTCTCCAGTAAGTTCTGGTTGTTTATACACCCGGTAGAATGAGAACATTGGCCTTCTGCGTTCAGACGAAAACACTTCGATTTTAGTCGCTACACAGATAACTTCATGGAGAGGATAATGGGAATTGTTGAACCCAATTATTAAAAAAAGACTCTAGAGAACCGGGTGAAATAGAGATAGGCTGCTGACGTAAAACGTTTCACTCGGAAGCCAAAGGAATAATAATAATAGCACCTGAACCATGTACCAGGCTATCAACACATTCACACAATGTGACGCCTTATAGCACAACTCAGTTGGCTGGCTAGGCAGACGTGTAGTGAAGTTGATGTAAACCCCAATGAAGCGCACCTCCTTCCATACAATAACTACTAATCAAAATGCAATGCAACCAACCAATTTAAGATAGATACTCTATACACTGATGAACTGAGTGCAATATTCCCTAGTCAAAGTATTCACTCATTATAGATTGGTGGACTTCAGTTTTGTGGCAGCCTATACAGGCAAATAAAGTGGTTCTCTACTCTCTGTGCAGCAATTTACTAACTCGTAAAAGTGTTAAGTTGCACCTATTTTTCACATTGTAAAAGATGTTTAATAGATTTATTTTATTTATTTATTTATTTTTGATTACAGCTTGATTCCACATTGTATTTTTGGTGCAAGTATGGAATTTTCAGCGTGGATATCGGTAGTCGAAATTTCGCAGGCCGACCATAGATATCAGGTGTGCGTCGGCGTGGGCTCGAACCCCGGACTATGTGCATGGTCGGCGAGAGTCCTAACCACTGTGCCACCGATGCACAGTGATTATACTTGTACAGAATGATAGGTGATTGCATAATAGTCGAAAAATCCGCCCTTTTATTAATTTATGAGTAGATTTGGATTTCACGGACGGGGCGATTCATGTCTAGTGCCACACAAGCTCGAAGATCGACAGCTGAAAACCAATAAATTGGAGGAGGAAGAAGAAGAAACAGCGAAGACAGGACTTCAGCTGAACACACAAGAGACAAAGGAGGTGTTGGAGATAGCCAAAAAACCAACCCAACAACAAGCACCACTCTTCATTGATGGGAGAAATTTGAAAGAGATCACTTCATTCACTTATGTGGCTAGACAGCATCGTTTCTACTACTACAGCAGGCGTTACACAGATGATGATGATATCAAAACCGCCCAGGATCACGAAAGCAGTGTGAAAACATGTTTTACTAAGCTCAAAGAACAACGTGGGGATTTTCAACATTGATGTTAAATTATTTCCTCTAAATGGGTCAGATACTTGGTGAATGTGTCATAAAAAGCATTTTCAATAAATACTTTGATTAGATACTCACTCATTAGTGTCTGTAAGTCTAGTCTTTCGTTCGATGCAAACTAAATTCTTTCAGTCACGACGTTTGCAATGTAGCCAACAGGCTAGGAAGTTTCCCATCCCAATGTACTGGTACTGTAAATTGTTGATATTAGACAGTTGGAGGCAATCGGCAGTTCGTTTTGGGACCTACATTTTGTGCTTGTCGGATTGCACTCACCCACCAGTCAACACGGTGTAATTGTTATCTTCATGAAATTCATGTCCCTTCTGAGATTCGAACTTGTATCACCGAGTAGGTGCTTCAGTTAGAGGTTTTACCAATGAGCTATCCAAGGGCTTGAGATTGATCCTCCAACCATCTAATCACAGCAGTTCACAGTACACTGTGATAGTGAGCCACCAAGCAAGGTGGCTCATTTGACTGATAGAATTTATTCAAGTGTTGGTTTGTTGGGATTTGATTGGTTATAGGACTTCATCATGAGCTGACATTGGTTGTAGAACCATTGGAAAACCTGGCGGGGAGTACTGGACGGTTGTTTCGTCTAGTAGGGTGCAGCAGGTCAGGTGTGAGGACAAATACTCGCCGAAGACATTGGCTAGCGGTTGCGCAATGTCGTGAATTGGAAGAAGTTAGAATTCATGGGTTGGCTGTTGGATCGGGTCCCAGTGGCTTAATGGTATACGAGCTCGCCTTGTTACCAGAAGGTCCTGGGTTCGAAGCCCGTGTTGTGGGCGCATACTACTGAAGAGTCCCAGATTAGGGCGAAACAGCTGTCCAGTACTCCCAGCTTTTCCAGTGGTTCTTTAACCAATGTCAGCTCATGATGATGGAATTTAGTCTGCACCAAACAAAAGACTAGGCACTCACGTCGCACTAGTTACTAACTAGTTTCCAATCAAAATATCCATTACAATGTCACAGGAGGCCAATCTTGAGACCAAATAGCTCAATGGTGACGACTCTGACTGAAGAACTCACTGGATGGAGCGGATTCAAATCTCAGAATGGACATGAGTTTCTTCAAGGTTGCAGGTACACCTTGATGACTGATGAGTACAATCCAGCAAGCACAAAATCTAGGTCAAGCAAGGCTTTCTGTGGCCGACTGCCCCCCACCATCTAATTTCCAACAGACTCTAGGATTTCATCAACGACTGAGTTCGTTCCATACTGAAGATTA